GACGATCATTCTCGGCGCGAGAGAACGTATCTCTTGTGTGGCGACCAATCGAGATTTAATTATGTTATGACAGAGGCGGCGCGCGGACGTATGAAATAATTACGCCGCTTCGCTATCTCGTAAAGGTAAACGCGGCGAGCGGTCTTTTCTCTCTCTCTCTCTCTCTCTCTCTCTTGCCGCGAAAAAGTTGTTTGCCGTTGCAGGACGAGAGACGACGCGTCTCGTCGCGAGCGCCCAGCATCGCCACGAACGGATCGGCTCGCGCGTTTCTTCTTCCCCTCTTCCGCCCGCGGATACGATATCCACTTTTTGCGCCCGTAACGAGCGATTACTTCTCGTTCATCCTTCTCCCGTTCGTCTCTCCTTCTCGTCCGGCCTCCCGCCGCTTTTAATGGCCGTTCACGCGCGTAATCGGCAGATCCGCATGCTCGCGCGGTCTCTCTCGACGATGATGCCCCCGCCGGCCTCGTTATTTGCCCAGGATGCGTCGTTGTCGCGCGCGTGCGAGAGTGTATGTGTGCACGCAAAAAAATGGCTTGGTAATAGTAACTAAATTTCAATAGCTGAATTAAACTTAGCTATATAAGAGCTACCGCGCCTTAGTGTCATTGCTAAGTTCTGGCTATTACAGATAAAAAACATTCACTGTGACAAAAAAATTTATTAACTGAAATTAAAAGCATATATTAGTATAGGCAGCTAAAAAGACGGCATGCGTACCTAAATGTCTTATCATGCACACATTTAGCGCACAGAGCTAAGTTTATAGCGCGGAAATTTGATTTGTAATTGTTTTTGCAATGTGACACTGTCATATGCACATCTACAGCGCATTTAGTATTTATATTTTGCAGTATATAAGCTATATACTTCAAATATTATTACTCTATTGCGAAGATAAAATAGCATAGTAGATTCGGCTAAATATCATTTGATTTTAGCTGCAAATATTTTTTTGCTGTAGCACCTACATTTTAATAACTAATAAATTGAACTTCGGCAGTAACGACATTAGCTGTCCCTATTTTAACGACACATCTTAGCTGCCATAGCTATATTTTAGCTTCATTGGCTAATCCTTTCTCTGCGTATGTGTGTGTGTGTGTACGCAAGTCGTTGCCGCGCGCACGAGTTCGTCGAGGCTCGCTCGCGCGAGTTGTCCGACGCGACGCGACGCGACGTGACGCGCGCGCATCGCATCGCCGGCGCGCCGATGTTTATTCAACTGCAGCTGCATCAGCGGAGCCGGGCGTCTGACTCTCCTCGAGAGTCGCATCGCTTCGGCGCGGCGTGTTATTTCCATTAGCGGCAAAAGTAGATTTGATCTATGCACAAAGAGCTTCCGCCTATAATTCGCGACCCGGCGCTCTTCTAGCTGCGCGCTGAAAGCTGCAAGTAATATTCAAACAATCATGAAATCCAATTGCAAACCGATATAAATGTCAAACGGAAAAAGAAATACGTATATAGAGCGAGGTACTTCCGTGTGACTAGAGATAATATTTGAATAATTAAAGAGAGGAAATATGCATTATATACAGTGCGCGAAACGCGCGATGTAGATATCAAAGAGATTCTTTTTTTTTTTTTAAGAAGCGAAACAAATCACGCGATAAAGTATAACGCTGCAGACATTGCAGCAAACGGCACACACAGTGAAACAGAATGTAAAAAAGTCTTAAGAACCACGCGTTCTTGTTTCCCGATGTATTTGCCGCCGGACGGAGACGAGGAGGGCGGAGGAAACGATTTATATCCGATGTGTCCGCGCGCTCCTCCGTGGAAGCGTGCAGGATACCTTAAGAGGCTGCCGCTTACGTCACCCGATCTTTGGGCCCTCGTACCTCGGGACTCTCCAAAGACCTATTACCTTATTTACGATTCGCACGGCCATTATCTCCTGGCAACAAAGTGAACCAGCCGGTTTTTCGATACTATCCGCGCGCGCGCGCGTGTGTATATATACCTGGCCGGTGTGAAAGAAAAAGGGGGAACCCCTTTTCGCGGACGAGAAACGAGCACAAAAGACACGCACGGCACAGGGCCGCGGCGCAGTTTTGCGGTCGTGGCCGCCGCCGCCGCCGCCGCCGCCGCCGTGAAGCCCGTGAGCCGAGAGAGGACTTTTGTCTTCGTTTCTTAATAACACGCGCGTCTCCGCATGGGAGACACCGCCGTGCGTGGGGTGACCCTGGCGGAGCTAAAAGCGCTCACGCCACTCCGCGATATTATCGAATTATGGACACGTTTAGGAACAAAGATGTTGGGGGAAGGAGAGGATTATTTCTGACCGAGATTTAATCGACTAATTTTATTTGCGGCTTTATTTATTTTATTGTCGCCGGAAGACAAAAATAATATTTTTCAATTGTATACGTTATATAACAGTAAATTAAATATATCGCGAGTAAAGATTTTTGTAATGCTATTTCGACGAAAGCAAACATTTGCGCTTTTGGGACGGACGGGGGTAAAAGTAGCAATTTCGGTAACGCAAATAAGTACCATCGGGGAATAATGACCTGGTCGACGGGCAGGTCTCTAATTTTGGCGTATACGATTAAGTTTCCGTTCAAGTATTTATAAATCGACATTTACGTCAGACGTGCGCTTATACTGGTATGACGGTAATCGATCTTCTTTGCTATTTTGAAATCTCTCTATGCAATTGTATTCGTCTTCTACTCTTCTCGTTCTATTTTCAAGTTCTTCGAAACATATGAAAACACGAATACAGCGGGGCAAGAAAGTGGAAAGAAACCTTCCGTCCGTTTCTCACGTTGAAAAAAAAAGACATCTAATGAATCAGAAATAATAGCTCTTATCGTTCTAAAATCTTTAAAGTCGTGCAGTTTCGCGATGATCGAAAAGCAGAGGTAGGAATATTTGCGCGGGAACGAATGTTGATGTTTGCCAACTCGCGGAGGCATACTACGTTAATTTCAGCCGATGGCTCGCGGTGACCGTCGCTGTTATGAGAGAGAGAGAGAGAAAGAGAGAGAGAAGGTGAAGAGAGAAAGAGAAAGAGAGAGAGTGAGAGAGTTTCGATGAAAACGAATTTATCGTTGGCCGCGATGCAACACGATGCGTCGCGCCGCATCGCGGCGCAACAACCTGTTCGATGACTTTTCCGTTTGATGATTGCAACAAGTGAGGCCCACCGCCGCGCCGTGCACTCTCCCGCGCTCTCCCAAACCATTTTACCACCGACAGCCACTCCCCGTTTCGCATTCAACAAGTGGCCAAATCATTCAGCGCGGGGCCGCGATCTCTCGAAAAATCGGAATTTTTGTGCGCGCCCTGTCGTTTGGCCGGTCATCGATCGATCTATCAAAATGAGATGGGGCTCCCTTGGTGGCGGCGGCGGCGGTGGCGGCGGTGGCGGCGATACGTTGGCATGTCGCGAGAGATGCGAGAGTCGCGGGTGTTCCGACCCGAAAGGATCACCAACGTCGCCGCCGCCGTCGTCGCCGTCGCCTGAGCTTTGCAATTCCATACAGCTTATTTTTGCAGTAGCCAATTTTTATTTTCGTAAAAATCCACATCCGATACGTGCCCTCTCACCGGCGGCGTAATAATAGTATTCGGCGGTTCGCTCTTAAGAGGTGTGCGCGCGAAGAGACGCATCCTTTCGAAATTCGATTGACGCCCTTTCGCCGCAACGTAATCATTACTGTCATCGGAAAGCGCCGATCTTTTCCTCCGTAATTTCAGTCGGCGCGCCAAGTGCCATTGGTGGTGGTGTGTGTGTCTGTATACGTGTGTATGTGTGTGTATGTATATACGCGTTCTCTACTCGACGTTCTTTCGTTCTCTCTCTCTCTCTCTCTTTCGTGTACCAAAGAGAGAAATCCGTTGGTGGTGGACTCGAACGAATCTCGTGGTATCTGGTGGAATGGGTCTCATTAAGGACGCCTTCACAGCCCTTCATCCTTGGCTCTTCAGGCCTGCGCTTTCGTCCCTCCATCTCTCTCTCTCTCCCTCTCTTTCCTGCCTTCTCTCTTTCGCCCCCGCTTCGAGACGCTCGTCTTTTATACCTGGCTGCCCCTTGCTCGCATTTCTGGGCTTGGTCCCGTGTGTTTGCGTGCGCCTTATGTGCCCGAAGGCCATTCGCCGCCGCTGGTTCCTTGTCATCTTCGACTTTAAGCACGTCGCGACTTAATGTGTTTCCAAAGGTATCCGACGAAACGAGAAACTCCCGCGCTTTTTGGCCAACGGTCTACCACAGATTCTTCTGTAATGCCGTAGTTAGAATTTGAAACTTTGCGATGTTAACAGATGAAATCTTGAAAGCTGAAGACGAAATATTCGCAAGATTAAAACCGCATATACTATTAACGATCTGTAATAGTAGTAATTTATCTTTATTTTCGACAATTATAATTATATTTGAAAATATATACATATATATACATTCGAAACAAAATTATTTGACTGTACTGATGTTTACATGAATATATTAATAAAATGGAATATCAAGCAAGAGAGAGAGAGAGAGAGAGAGAGAGAGAGAGAGAGAGAGAGAGAGAGAGAGAGAGAGAGAGAGAGAGAGAAAAAGAAATACTAAGCAAACTAAAGTTGATTTTTGAGAACAGATAACGTGTAAATTAACTTTCTGTCTTTTCTATAAAGATTTCTTTTCTATATAAATTATTACAATATTCGATAACGAACGTTTCCGTGTGCTCTTAGTAATGAGCCAGCTGCCTGCGTCTGTAGACGCAGATATGGCTGGCTCATTTATTCGTATTAATAGCCAGGGATCCGCACGTGGATGGCTGACTGGGCCCCCGGAGCTAAAAAGATTAAACACAATGCCACAAAGTGACGGCAGGCTGCTTGTCGCGGATGCGGCTTATTCGCCGCGAGTGCGTTCCGCGCACGGTTTTAACGCCGCCCACGTGCGCGCGTGTCCCTCTATCGCGCGTTCGCATTGTCGTTGTATACATAGCTAATTGAATCCCTTCGTTTCTCCAACCCCTATCTTTTTTTTATCCTTGCAGGGTGGCGGCGGTAGCGGCGGGGCTGCTGGCGGGCTGAAATTCACGGTGGCGGACACTTGCGAGAGGATCAAAGAGGAATTCAATTTCATCCAGCAGCAGTACCACTCGTGAGTATCTCTCTTTCTTTCCTCGCTTATTTTCCTTTTAGCCTTTTCTTCCTTGCCGTTCGCCCCTTGCCCCCGCCCCCTCTCTCCTCGCCCGTCCGTTTCTCGGGCGTTTCTATTTTCCTTTAGTTTTCCTCTCTCTTTTTCGTTTTCTTCTGTTTGGCCCCGCTGTGTTTCCTCGAATTTTCGCGATTATTCAAGACGACGGGGTTTTCCTCTGCATTTCTCCCCTCGTTCTCTCGCGGCCGATTTTCGACGATGCCCGCGATTATCGATCGATTCGCATCACTCGATGCATATTACATCGTGTTTTATTCCCTGCACTTCGAAGATCCGGACTTTGTTGTCTTATTTATAGCGTTAGCATGTATAATTAAGTACTTTTACAAATTTGCAAATTTGTGTGCCTATCTCATTACTTTTATAAATTTGAAAAATCGCCCATCTCATTCCACCCAGTCGTTTCTGATTTTCTTTTTATGTTTCAGACTGAAGCTCGAGTGCGAGAAGTTAGCGAGCGAGAAGACCGAGATGCAGAGGCACTACGTTATGGTAAGGCACTTTGTAAGTTCCTTTTTGTGTCTTTCCTCTCTTCGATCGTGTCTCGTTACCTCTTTCGCAAGAGTCGAGAGCGGTCCAAACCCGGGAACAACTCCGACAACAATTTAGTTCCTTAATCGCGAAAATGTCGGCGATACTCGCAGCTATGCTCCTCCAGTGTTCGATAATCCTTTTATGCGCGAAATGCAACAACAAGCAAACAAGCTCCGGTAGAATATCGTAAGAAACTTTATACCAAAAGTAAGGGAAAGAGAGAGTATCGCGCTGCTTTTCTCCGAGTTTCGGGAGGGGGGCAGGGGGGGGGCGGTTAGAATATTTAATCCGACGTTTCCCGCAACTTGTGCAAAATGCATGGGGGTTCGTTAAAAATAAAAACGAAATTCGATTATCGAGTTGCGCGCGTGCATTGCGAGGAAGCTCTCTTCGAGGAGTCCCCCTCCTCCTCCCTTCCCTTCTCGATTTACATCCGTATTGGCACGAGAGAACGCACGCCAAGCACATCGGTATTTATCGGTAACGCGGGCATGAAAGAGCGAGACATTATATAAATGAGAGAGAAACAATGCGAGCCGGTCCTCTCTCTCCCTCCCTCTCTCTCTCTCTCTCTCTCTCTGGGAAAAGCAATTAATATTATTTTCGCTTCATATTGCCCCGACTGCCCCCTCTTTGATTTAGTTCTATCAGGCGCGGAGGCAATTAGTCCAGCCAACCGTACTAATCGTATCGTCATCGGTAAGGAGCTTAACTTGGACTTACCTATATTAAAGTGCAGCGCTAACATGGTCCAAAGTACATATTCGTCGCGAGTATCCGTCTCTCGTTGCACTCTTCTTCATCGCCCCCGAGGCAGGCGACTCGGATGTTATTATTGTCATTTCTACAATAGGTCTTTTTTCCCCTTACAAGACTATATCTAAAGTTACAGAACTGTGACACGCGAAAAGTTATCTGAAGTCGAGGTAATTATAATTTGTTCATGAATTGCAACACACATTTCTGTTTCTTATTTACATTCGAAATGTTACTTTCGAGATAATGTTATTACTTGACATTTGGAGTAATGGTAATTACATTAAATTAGACGAGCGACGGCTTGTACTCTGAAAAATTTCATCCCAGACCTCGTTTCAAAATAAACCAGACACGACGACGCGTTGATACCGGAAATCGAACGCTCCGAATGGAATATTGGCTCGTCCCGTTTCACCGTGAATAGCTGCTGCAAAAAGTCACGCATCGAGCCGCAGTCGAGCGCTTTCTTAGAATTCGCATGTAAAACGCTTGAGGCACGACGTGTGAAATTGTAAAATAAATTCTAATGTGTGACTGTTTCTCCCTTAAACTCCAATTGCGAAGCTATCGTCGTAGACGTCACGTGAAATGTAAGGAAAATTTCCGAGTACCGCACATGCAGCGCTTCTCGTCTGCCCCAGCAGAAGTCAAACCCGCGGGAGAGACACACGGTGACTAGACTGAAAATAAAAAAAAAGTCAAGCAGGATCGGGACGGAATCTTTTGTCCTGATACGAATTCAGGGTTGCACACGGGAATGCGCTCTCGCAGGTACACCAGGGCTTATGTGTTTCTGTAAACCGCTTTCGACGTACGAAAGCGAACAGCGCGGATTGGAGGGTCAATAACCCCGTTATGCTCAATAGACGCAAATTTCAGCTGAAGGGCACATTGCGAATGTTTACTCGGTTGCTTTTCAGAATTCCAGGACCGTGCGGAGAGATTGGAAACCGATATAATTTCAATAAGTCTAACGCTTAACTTATCGCCCGCGCTATCACGATTGAGCGTAAAGAATTCCAAGTATGAATCCAGAATTGTGTCGAAATTATTAAGAAATTTTGCGAAGAACATTTTCCGAATCATTAGTCTATTTTAGTTAATATTTCCGCATTCATTCCTTTTTTCATTTACTTGGCATGACATTTAATTATCGGTTTGCTCTTGACATTAAGTAATTGTGGCAATGTATTGTTGTAATTTTTGGAAACGTTCCATTTCCGTTGCCGTTAATTCTCGAGGTAAAAGGTTCAAACGGTGCGCCTCAATATGGGTAGCTCGGATTTTGCGCGCTTAATGCATTCCTAAGAAATGCAAATCCAAATTCGCGCGAACGCGAAAGGCTGATGGTGTTTTGCATGCGAAAATTGCGCGTCGTTTTACGCCGAGCTCCATTTACGCCAGTTAAAACACGCGACCTTAAGAAACTGCTCCGCGGAAAATCAACCCCGCGCCGCGCCGTTCGGCAGATCGATGTCCTCCACCGTGACGCCGGGGCATCCTTGGATTCCGAGGTTCCTACACCACTGTCTGCTGTACGGCCGATCGTAATTGTCGCGAACTATACTGTCTCTGTAAACTGCTACACCGATGTGACACCGTGCAAGCAACCAAGCAGCAAGCTGGGCCGAGTGGAAGGGAGTCGGGGGTGCTAGAGGGAGTGGATAAGGGGGGTCGGAGGTGACAGAGGGGTTGATGGGGGTTGGGAGTTGAGCCGGTAATCGATATCTCCAAAGTAAACGAAGAGAGAGATAGAGAAGGGGGTGGCAACAGGAGGTGGAGGAGCAGTTGGACGCGGGGGTTCGGGGGGAAGGGCCGAGGGGGGTGGGGGAGGGAGAGCGGCGAGGGGGCGGGGGTGGAGTGATAGAAGTAGCGAGGAAGAGAGAAGCGCAAGGCTCGTCGCGAGGGTGGAGGAAGGGAGCGAGAGGAAGAGATAGATAGACGAGAGAGAAAGAGGGGGCGAATTACAGAGACAGAGAGAGAAATTGATGTCGAGGGTTTGTCAACCACTGACAAGTATTATATACGTGCAAGCCGGAGACGCGCGCGGACGAGGGCGTGGAGCGTTGGTGTGCGACGGCACACACAGTGTACGTACACCACGTTACGCCAGCCGTGTCTCTGATATTCTAATTCCACCCTCGTGTATTCCGACCGCCTCTCCTGCCATCCTCTTCCCGCCGTCGCCACCACCGCCACCGTCGCCGCCGCCGCCGCCGCCGCCGCCGCCACGCGCGCGCAACTTCATCCTTCGCGATTTTCATTAGGGTAACGCGCCGCGTAAATCCGCGCGCTGCTTCAATTTTTGCCCCCTTCCACCCCGACCACCCCTCCTCCTCCTTCTCCTCCTCCCACTCGTTCGCTTCACTCTTTTGTCCGCCCCGTCTTACGGATCATCGCCTTTCTATGTCGTTATGCGATATCTTTCCCTTCTCTCGTCGAGATACCGCCAATCATGTCACGTTTCTAGGGATTTGATTGATATACTTGTACTTGATTTATTCGCAGATGTTTAGTGTATTTTAGATTGTGTGTAGATTGTGAATTTAATTTGCGCTTGCATCGATCTTAGAATTTTTGCGATTCTCTTTTTCATATCTTTTGTTAGTCTTTTTTTAAAAAGTATAGAACAAAAACTTGTAAATTGAAACCGCACTGTGGATTTACAAAAATTCTATCTTCATCTTTATAGGTTTGATATTCATTTGATATTCACAGTCTATATTTTTGTTTCGCAGATTTGAGGAATGTATTTTCGGAGAATGACATTTTATATATACCTACTGAAAAGTACGGAACACAAAGAGACCGAATTAACTTAACTTTTTCTCGCAAATAAATTTTCTCGTCGCTTTATAACATGTTTGTCGCTCTAATTCACACGTTGCGAAACTTATCCTTTATTTATCTGTAAAAATGAAAAAAATTTTAGATCGTTTTAAAAAGTTTCTCTTCAGCAACGGCAAAAATAACCAACACTCGCGAACATCTGACATACTCTAATTATCACGTGCTCCAAATCTTCATTCGTATTCCTCGAATTGATAATATTCTTCCATTCTATCGCTTGCAGGAGCTTCATATTTTTATCGTGACAGATTGCGGTGCATCGTCGGGTGAATTAATTCTCCGGAATGTATATAGCTTTGAACGCGAGACGGTCCCCTCGACGAATAGCGTCGTTCTCTCAGCTCCTATATAGTTTACAGGCAAGGCGGGGAGGAGAGAGAGAGAGAGAGAGAGAGAGAGAGAGAGAGAGAGAGAGAGAGAGAGAGAGAGGTCAGCGTCGTTACCGTATCGTCAAAAACAGACGGGGGCATAAGCGGAAAGCTCCGAATCCCCGGGCCGTCAGAAAATTAATTTGATTTCCGATACGCGAATGTAATGATCGAGCGAGCGGGGGGAGAAAAAAGAGAAAGAAAATTCGTCGGTACGGACGAGGGACAAAAAAACCAGGAGGGAGGAGGGGGAAATAGAACGAAAAAAACCTTATCGAAAACGGGCCCGAGGTCGTTGCGCATCTCCGACCTGCCCGCGAACGAGAAGACTTTCCAATTATCTATGTTTTTTCTCCGCCGCGTTTTTTCGCGCTGCAACAAATTAAACGTAACCCACATCCCTGGGGCACGCTTCTCGATTACTCTTTGTTTTCCTCCTGTTTCCACGGTTCGCCGTTTGCTTTCCACCCCTCGACTATATACGCGCGCGCGGGTATACCTGGCAGATTGCATTTCTATCCTCCTGCGCTATACGTTGTCCTTCTCTCGAAAAAATTTTTTTTCATCAACACTAGCAAAATTTTGCCCCGTCACGCATCGACTGTGACGGGTTGTTCGGTCGGCCGTGCCGTTCCTTTATGCCGTAGAAAATATCTTTACTGCACAACGGATTTCAATTAAAATATCATTTGCGCGAATCTCTTTTGCTCGTTATATATATTTTAGATCAGAATTATCTCTTATTAATACACGAATAAGTTAATATTATTTTAGAGATGTCAAATGTAAATTCTTATCCTTAAAAAATGTTCTTATTATAATTCATTAAATTGTAATCGAAAATTGAAAAAAATTTTTATTGAAAGTTATATATAGCTTCCTTGTCTTAATAATTCACGGGAAACTTTTTCAAAAATATGAAATATGCATAAAGCCGACAGAGAAAAATTTCGCGTTATGAATCGCGTTATGCATCACACCCGGCGCGACTTGTAGCGGCTTATTAATTATCCGTTAATTATCCGCGGGCGCAGCGTGTAAATTTTCGCGAGGTGAGAGTCAAGAGAGTGGATGCAAGGGAAAAAGGAAGATGGAAGTATGGAGAGAGGCGAGAGAACGATAGACTGAATCGAAGTGCGGTGAACTAGAAAGAAGAGGAAGAGAGGGGGAGAGAGAGAGAGAGAGAGAGAGGAGGGGAAGAAAAAAGGGATGAAACGAGGGAAAATGTCGAGAGAGCGACAAATGAGGTCGTCCAATCATCCTATCAAAGGCTCGCTACTAAAAGATCCATATCGAGTAATCGGAGGGGGCGAAATTATCGGTACAACTCCTATTATTGGGTTCCCAGGCACGTGAAAATAGAAAATGAGAGGCGGGACAGATGAGATCGATATCCACGGAACTCTCTCTCTCTCTCTCTCTCTCTCTCTCTCTCTTTTTCTTGTCGTTGGGGGAGAGAGTTTTCTAGTTATTTGATTACCGACTTACGTCGATATCTTGCCTTCGGCCGTCCAAGTCGAACTTAACAAAACGCGCTCAAAGCATATCCGGCCGACGCGGGTAAACGCTGACAAATCGCGTGACAGATTGCAAAGCGATCGGCTTTCTTGCTCCACGCACGGTCACGCAAAAGTGAAGCGGTGGAAAGTGAAAAGACGGCGCAAGCGAGGGCAAGTGATAAAGAACGGAGAAACAGAGAGAGCGAACAATAGGAGGAGGAGGGCGTCCTCATTATACGTGCCAGCCCGAGACGGGATAAATTATGATCGCTCTTTACCTAGCGTGGCGGTAATCGCGCACTTTTTCGGCTAGATTGCGAGAGCTTCGAGGAAATGTATATGTATCGAGCCACGGCTGCTCGCGTCGCGCTACGATACGATCGCCAAGCTGAATCAACAACGGCGCGCCGCGCCGTAGGACAAAGCGCGCGCCGGGATCGTTGCGCAAAAGAGGAAGGCTCCGCGCGTGCCTTGCCCCAAGTTCGCCAGGCGTAGTTATCGACTGCATTATTAAGTCGGTATATTTCCGTGGCCGATGCTATCGATCTCCGAGCCCGAGTATCTCCCAGCCTGGTCTGACGTGTGTATTGCACTTTCCCTCCCTCTCTCTGTCTCTCTCTCTCTCTCTCTCTCTCTCTCTCTCTCTCTCTTCCCGTTCTTTCTCTCTCTCTCTTTCTTTCTTTCTACCTCTATCTATCTATCTTTCTCTCGGCAAACCGCCTCCCCCGAAGCCATTCGTTTCCGAACGAGAGCGGCTAAAGGCGGACACGCGCGGCGCTAAGCGACAGCCACTAGCCAATTTACGATCGCGCAAGCGCATCCAACAGACTGCATCCTACGTTCGGATGCAGTTTACCGAGATGCATGTATACGCGCTGAATCGAACGGCTACTACTACCGCGTGCGGGCCCCTTTTGGTCTTACCCTCGCCCGCAGAAATTCGCCCACGAGAATGCCGGGCGGCGTGAGAAGATCGCGCCGGTCGATCCATCGATCGCTCCGAGCGATTTGATACGTCTCGAGAATTCCGCACTCCGATGTTCCGTTTTCAGTTAGGAAGGAACACGACCCCCGGTTCGTAAAAATTGCGTCTCGTTAACGAAAGGATGTAGAATACGGCGTCAATGAGACTTAAGACTTAGGATTTAAGAAAATTTTGACCAATCATATTCGATTATTCATTTCACGTAAGAAGAGTAATCGATTGTGATTGGTCAATTTTCTTAAATCTTAAGTCTTAAATTTTATTGTAGACGCCGCTGAAAACAAATGTCACGATCATGAAATTGAGATATTACAAACGTAATTTTTTATCTTTACGTTTAATCGCAAGATAGCGATTTTATAAGACTCTGCGAATAATGCATTTGTGAACGAATGTTTGATTGTCGAATTATAGCGGATCAATTTATAAACGTTAATATGAAACCTAATCGAGACCACGAAAGTTTAAACAAGATGAATTTTAGAAACGCCAAATGTCTAAAGCGAATCTTGGTGTTGAATAATAATATTTTTGTATATATGATTCTTATAATTCAGATAAACTGCTCGCCAATTTATTATGCGTACGAATCATCGTAGCAGTCGTCAATCTAGTTCGAATATGGATGATCCTATTGTGAAGTTCGAATTCACAATGATTTTCCGGTGTGTCTTTCTCGCATTTGTACCGTGCGCCGTTTAGTAGTTTAACCGCATAATATTTCATATCCCTGAAAGGTACTTCATGCAAACTGAAAGCTATGTCTTTTTTGTTACAGTATTACGAGATGTCGTACGGCCTCAACGTTGAAATGCACAAACAGGTAAGTTTACCACTCTTGCACCCTTTTTTCCGAGTAATGATTAATCTCTTTTGATCCAGCGAGTTTAAGGTCGTCAAGTGTTACCGTCCGGTAATTGAAGATGACTAAACTAGATAAACTAGTGTTGCATGGAAAATCGATAGCTACAATATTTAGAATAGATTACCTTCTTTTCCCCCTCCTCTCCCCCCTCTTTGAATACATTCCTAGAATGCACATTTCGTGTAATTGTATTCTTCAAACTTTGCGTACAATTAGAGCGGTAAGGTTGGGCAATGTAATCTTTAATTAGCTTAGTGCGAAGTTAATCAAGATCACGTTTAACTCGGATGCTAAGTACCCGAGTGGCCCTTCGTTAATTGAGCCCGAGAGGGGTAAAGGAGGGGAGGAGGGGGTCAGTGAATCGTCGGAATCGGCCGCGGCCGCAAATGAGGGGTGCGGGCGAAGCGCGCGAGCGCGTGCGTTTAGGCCGGGAAATCGTGTAATTTCGGCTAATCAGGGGAAACACAGCGGCATGGGGAAGTCCCCTCTGTCAGCAATTTTCTTAAAAGCGGCCACCACGGCTGGCCCCTCGTCGCCGCGCGGTCATGCTCAAAAGTGGGGCTTCCGAACTCCAAACAACCCTCCCCGCCGCCTCGCGCCGTCCCGGTACAACGAGCTGATATTCATTAGCATTAGCGGCCGATCATTTCTCACCCTCGTACCTCGAGGCGGCGGTTAATGGGCCGAGGCGCAAGGAGGGAAGAGAACCCGCGTTCTCTCGGGGTAGTTATAGGGCGTAACACGGCGCCAGAATCACCGCGGAATTGTTTCCGGCGAATAATGCATGGAGGAATCAGGGCGCGTCTCTTTAAATAAAAAAAAAGCAAGGGTAAAACAAACGGCGCTATTTTAATCGGGCTCTCACAACTTGAGCTGTAAGAGAGTTTGTTCTTCTAAAACTAGAATGAGGTGATCGAACTTGATTTATTAACAACGGAAATTGGAAATGTCTACGTGTCATCTTAAATTCAATTAGCTAAGGGTTTTGCTTGATTAAATGGCTTATCTTGGAAAGATAATGTATTGAATAATTAAATTAAAACTGAATCTCTTCTTTCACGTAGACTACTGTAAACTCGCTAAATTGTACTGAGAGATCTAAAAATACATTCTCTTCGTTATTTTTTCTCTCGCCAACGAGTGCGATAAGATTTCCGAGAAAGACCCGCCTCGCGTTCGTAATTTGTACCTAAATTTGTCGGATAATGATATACGCCGGATGTTAATAAAAATCGGAAAAAGTAAGATCCCACTCCCGGGGATCGCTGGGAAATCAAGTCAGGACACCGCGACTGCACAAATTGCAGCGGAGATAATGTAGCACGGTGAACTCGCTTCTCTGACGCTAATTGGAAGAGAAATGAAAAGTTATCGGTTCTTGGCAGCTCTCTAATTAACCGTGATAATATCGCGCCGATGTGCCATGCACTCGTGAAACGCGCGATTAAATCTCTTTTGCCAGCTTATTCACATTAATCGCCATCTTCCATCTATCAGACGACGATTTTGCGAGGCACAAAATTAAACACATGTATAAGTATTGATATCTTAAAAGAAAGAAAGAAAATTAACTCGATAGATTTTCGTAAAGTTTGTCATAAAAATAATCGCGATAATCGTTCAGGAGTACGCTTTATTATTCATCGATGTTTCACTCTTCTTCGTCTGCCATCAACAACTTAATGGACGTCCCAAAAATGTATTTATTATTCCCGTCCGGGAAGGGGGAGGGGGAGTACCGCGCGTCAGTCTCAAAACCCTCCCTCGCTTGGCAAAAAAATAAATAAATCAAGCTCCCTTTAGTCAATCCCCGCCACTTAGCAGGCTTTCGCGTCGCGGTTTTCTCGCTCCTTTTCAATTTGAGCCCCCGAATGAAAACAATCTTCCCCTACGAGGTTAGAACCTTCTGTATCTCTGCCTCGTCTCTCTTTTTCTCCGCCGTTTCGCCTCACCCCTTTCGTTTTTACCCTCTTCGCCCTCCCTCCCGCGCAACACTCTCCGCCACCGTTTTCTCTCGCGTTTCCCTTTCTCCCCCTTTGATTTCGCATCTCGCCGCCGTGCGTTCTTCTCTATTCTGCGAGCCACCCCGCGCCTCCTCCCCGCCAGAATGCTAGCCATCCCTCGCATCTGCGACCCTCGTATCTCCTGCCGCAGCTCGAAGTCGACATTTGCCTCTCACCCACCCTACCGCAGCCACCACTTTACCACTCTCTACTCGACTAACTCGAATTTGTTGGCGATGTCCCAGTTCTTGTAGGTACGATTACTTCTCTCGCTCCATCCGTTCCTCATCCCCGATAGCAGTCTTGAGTTTTCTCCCTTCGGTCATCCTCGCTCGCGAACATTGGCTCGCTCGGTTCGATTTAATTGCGCGATATAGATCGCGCGACCGATCGCTGGCCGGGAATATTCGTCTGTTGACTCGTCACGCGGTGAAGAAATGAAGTTTTCCGACACGTGGACGCGTCCATCGACGTCACTCCACATAAATGCCGCTCATATGAGAATATTGGAAAGATTTTTCGCATACACTCAGAAGTTGGAAAAACTCGATCAAAATTATGTCTCTTTTAATCTTCGGATTGACGCGATATCGGTTCAATAATATCGGCGATAAAGTGTCTTATCAGCTGTCCCAGTTGGATTCGCGAGTCCGTCGAATTTCATCGCGCGAGCTTCTCCCTCGGGGAAACGAGATTCGCGACGATAGAGAAAAATGGACGACTCACAAAAAGCGCCCGCGACTACGCAAAAGAAAAGCGCGGAGGGGAAAGGGTGGGATAAACTGGGCGAATCAGAGCGGCGGCGGTGGCGGCGAGGACGAGACGGGCGAGCTAAAAACTCATCGCGACGCGACTGGTCGCGCGTTACGTTCTCGCCCTATTCATCGCGTCGAGTCGTACGTACGTACGTACATACATTCGGCTGCCGGCATATCTGCCCGATAACGCTTATCGCTTAATTGAAAGGGACGTCCTTCGAGGGCGGCGGCGACGGCGGCGGCAGCGACCGCCTGCCTCGTTGTCCCGCTCGATTAAGCCGCGATCCACGGTAATATGTCGCGGATACGTTATGCGCGCACGCGATCACGAAGTGGGTCATTACCGCGAGTCTTGGGAAAGCCGAGCAAATTAGAATTGACCACGGAAACATCGAGAAAATGAGGTAAAAAAATTAGTCGCTTTCGTCTCGATGTTTTAATGTCACACCATTAGTTCATGTTAAGCGGGCGCGTCTAATTAAAAACTTGTCGCATTGAAAGATTAAGAGAAGAGAAGCAATTTTAATATTTCGATATTTATTTGTAATGAAAATGTTACGTGCTTTTCGATTTTATATCAGCCGTATTAAAATTATGTCCGAACAAAGGATCGGACGGCAATGACTTTTTGCGTTATCCCGGAAGAAGATCAAGCCGCGCTCAGTTCTTACGAATGACATCGTCTCTAACGTGGGAATCCTTCGTGCGAAAATGTCGAATCGGAGACGGCGTTCTCTCTCGGGGGAGAAAAAAAAACAAACAACGCGCGTCTCTTTGGAAGAATATTGCCGCGGCGTTGTTGTTGGCGTTGTTCGTCAATACAAGAGTAACTACCATTTCCCCATCGCGGGGGTTCGCCCCGGCGTCCGATAAAAAATGTGCAGGCTGACCAATTGCGTATAACTCACCCTGCCTTTCCAGTTCTTCCTGCCTTCATGCATATATACGTCTATCTATCCGGGCTCTCTGTCTTTTGCCCTCTCTGGGTCCTCTCTCCCTCTCTCACCTTCGTCCTTTTTCCTTTTTTTTTTTTCGGATTCTCTTGCTCCGTCTCTCTTTCAGCGCGCGCGCGACCCCTCTCACTCCGTCTCCCATGGGCTCTCTTTCGGCGGTCGGGGGTCGCTTTTCCAGGGTTCTCTCGTTCGTACACACGTGTTAGCGTGCGAACGCGCGAGCGTGCGACAGAGAGAAAGAGAGAACGCGCGCGCCACACGCGTGTACACACTCGCACTCGCACTCGCTCGCGCTTGCTCGCACGAACACCTACGCCGCCGCGCGCGCATACACCCTCCTAGGGGTCGTGTATTCGAGTTCTTTTATTTTGCCCTGTGGAGGTAGCAGAGGGTTGAGTCGAGCGAGAGAGCGGAGAGAGCGCGAGGGCTGGGGGCGATGACATCGATTTTTTACCCGTTGCTAATCTCAATGTTACCTCCACCTCTTTCTCCTCCTCCTCCTGATCTACCTCCACATCCACCACCGTCCTCCTCCACCTCCCGGTTCGGTCATCTCCATCCCCTTCCTCCCGTCCCGCCCCGTCAACTCACTTCGTTCTCCCTGCCGCCGCTTCCCACCCCCCTCCCCCTCCCCCTCCTCCCTCCTTCGTCCAGCCCGCACCTCGGCCATCCGTTTTGCGGGAAAACGTGCATGTGCATCGGGCACATTCGAGAAGGAATAACCATTTTTTCGTGCCGGACAACACTCGCTCCGCGTCGCCCGCGTCCTGCAAATTCTCCTCGTCTCCCGACCGCCGCCTCCGACCACCCTCCCGCAATCCCCGACACTATCCCTCGCATCCTCTGTCCATTTTTTCGTCGAACCTTTTTTCGTCGCCCGCCCTTCTTCCTATACACCCACCTAACCGTCCCGGCTCGCTCGCCCGCCCTCCCCCTCGGTCCCCTCCCCCCTTCTGCCACCTACTGTCGAACGGAGCGAAATCGAACTGACGTGGACGCGGCAGTTTTCCATCTTTCTGTTCCCCGTGGGGGCGATGACATTTTTTTCGGTCTCTCAACTTTTAGATCTAACGCGCGGCCGACTCCTCTGACGTGAAAATATCGCCGGGGCGATATCGGCGCGGCATTTTCTGTTCGACTCGCAGACCCGGCTACTAAATAATTACGCGCGCGATTTTACCCTCGGCAATTTACCGTCACGAGCCGTTGAGATTGAACGAAATAATTCAGTCGATTGAAAAATATAACTGCCCACGGTGATTTCCCGATTATTCAATTTGCTATTCGTAGAGGCAGAAATTCTCATTTTGAGATTGTCATCTCGCGATGCGGTCGGAGAAAGAGAGAGAGAGAGAGAGAGAGAGAGGATAAATAGATGACAAAGTACAAATATTTTCCTTGTGCCGCGCGCGGCTATGCTTGAAAGTCACGTGGCGATCGTGAGCTTAATCGCGATCCGATTCGATCGACGTACATTAATGAGTAGCCATTCCCGCGCTTTACGAGGGTCGAGCCGACCGAGCGTTGCGCCCGCACGTTCGTCGAGCACTCGTCGTCATGCGACATGTGATTACCGCGCGATGTTAGCCCCCCGCACGCCGTGTGACACGCGTTGCCCCGTGCGTTTATATACTTACACACAATTCGTACACTCGCGTACCCTCCACCCCGCCGTACAGCCTCGATTTCTCAATTAAGTCCCCGAATTATTCAAAGCATAACTGCGTGACGTTAAACCTATATGCACGCGATATTAACTTTCGAGTGAATTTCCGATGTTACCCGCGCAATTTTACAAATGGATCGGTCATTTTGAAGAACGACACATGCCGTTTCGTAATTTTTTTTTTTTTTTTTAAATGGAGATAGCTGATGGAATGTTTTATGAAAGCGCCGCATTTACCGCGTGTGTCAAAAGAAATTACGTCTCTGTCATGTAGGAATTACTTCTCTTTGAAAGCGGCAGAATTAAAGCGCATTTTATTTCTTTCCGGAAGTCGCGAGTACTTTTTTATTCGCGTTTTATCGTCGAGATACCGACTAGAAATGGAGATAACTATACTCAATAGTCGTAATCATCAACAATTACCGATAATTTGGTACTTGACTGTTAATTATCGATTATTTTCGATAATTACAATATTGCAAAATTTGTCATTATTTGCATTTAAAAAATATATAATACATGTATATATTTATAAGTATATATGTATTTAGATAGACAAAGAAAGTAGATAATAAATATCGGATTGGTGCGAGAGTAGATTCGTATTTATCGAGAACTTTTAGCATATACATAAAATGCGCACAGATAAGAATTTGTTGCTACCGATGTGGCATCTAACAACCTAATTAATAATATTTTTTATGACAAAAGCCATTGATTTTTCTGTAAAAAATAAGTATACCAACATTTTTTAACTTAATTTTTTATCTCTTGTCAGATATTATTTGCCCAACTGTGCTAAAAGTCCTTTTAGATCCTGTAGAAGATGCTGGTGTACAGAAACAAGTGCAGAAACCAATCATAATAAAGAATCATTAAGCGCACTGATCTACTTTCTCTGCTGAACGCAGTCAATGAGAGTTCTGTTTTTTCGTTACATCGTCACGTTTAAAAAAATAGAGCTCTCATTGAAAATCGCTCATTGATTATTGCACCCAAGATGGGAACAGATGCAACATAGAACTTTAATCGATTTACAATAAAAAAACACAAACATATCAAAAACTTTCGATAATCGTAGAAGAAACATCGATAGTTTCTGATGAAATTATCGAGAATGATATATAATAATAATGTTATCGATATTTCTCCACTTCTAATAACTCGGTAGGATATAAATCGCCCGAATATTTAGTTGCCACTTGAGAGAGAGCACGTTTGATTCGATTTTCCGTCGTATGTTCGCAGACGGAAATCGCTAAGAGGTTGAACGCGATAATCGGGCAAGTGCTTCCGTTCCTGGCGCAAGAGGTGAGTCTTTGACTTTCTGTTTGGCACGCGTGCCGTGCGATCTCACAATCGAGTGTGACGACGACGCGATAATGATAGCATGGCATTGCAGCATCAGCAGCAGGTGGCCAACGCCGTGGAGAGGGCTAAGCAAGTCACCATGTCCGAACTGAACGCCATTATCGGGGTAAGAGAGTAGCCGCTCACCATTAATTTCCTAAGTCATCGGCTCTAATGAGATATGTAGATCGTAAAAAGTGTATCCGTCAGAAAGAATTCTCTAGAACGAAATAGTTCGCGTGCTATATATCGATGAACTTAATCTTATGATTGAATAATTGTTACTTGAGTGCGACTTGACGTGCGTCTTTTTCTAATTCTTGCAGCAGCAACAGCAGCAAGGTCTCCAGCAGCTACTGGTGAGTAATTTACATCACGTTTGATGCATAAAATATAGTTTAAATTTATACAATATATAAATATTTCTGTTATTTGCTGGGTAACGATTTGAAATCATTTTATGTGACTAGTCTTAAAAATAATACGTTGAGACTTGCTGAGGAATTTTTTCACAAAAATACTATAAAAAATTGTTAAGAAAAATATTTTAACACGTTGACCGAGTGCATTAAGCGAAATTAGTTTTACGAGAATCTAACTAGAGATTGTATAGCGCGATAGTAAAGAAGTGCAATTTTTAAACTCGTTATGTCATTTGATTTATCGATACTACGCAATTCTCTATATATTGTTCGAAATATTGGATGACATTACAGCATCAATCACGCGATTCGCATTTGGTGTTAATCAACGTGCTAATAAAAATAAATTTAGAATGAAATCGTATCTCGCGTCTGACGCGAGAGAAAAGAGAAATCATACAGGCGAAAAAGAAACGAGAGGTTGGCACCGTATTACAAACGCTTTTTTTTCTATCTTGACATTGCAGCAACAGATCCACGCGCAGCAACTGCCCCACGGCGCGGTGGTCGGCGGTCTTCCGCCGGGCGGTCTGCTGGGCTTCGCAGGTGCGGCCGCGGCGGCCGCAGCCGCGGGTGTGCCGCCGCACTTGGCGCCGCCGCCGCATCCCGCGGCCGCGGCTGCGGTCCAGGCACAGGCGCAGGCGCTGCTGAAGCCCGCCGATCTACAGCAGCATCGCGCGGCCGCGGAGACGCCCGAGGATCGTAAGCCGATCGCCCTGCCGGACGAGAGGCTCGGCCACCGCTCGGTCTCGCCGCCTGAGAAATTTCGCAGCCGCACGCCCGACCTCGAGAGCGACTCCAAGAGGCGGAAGGAGGAGAAGCTAGGACACGTGAGTACCAAATTGCCAGCATTGACACAATCCGGTCGCCGTCGCGCCGCTCTCGCGCGCGGACGTCGCGCAACGCCCCGAATGTGCTCGAATCGATCGGCGAGTTCGATCGGACTCGAAAATGCTTTACGTCCCACTTTTGCGATCTGAGATTTGCCAGAGATTTGTCTAATTCAAAATTATTCTACAGTATGCGGTGTATTGTATAAATTAAAAGTCGAATTTTTATTCAATAACGAAATGTAAAGTTATAAATTCGTCGAAAGCGCGCGGAAGCGTTTTGTAATTTTAACAAAAAATCGACTTTTCCGTTCGAAACCTCTCCCCTTCAGGGCGAGAGGAAAGGAAAGAATCAACGCATCGGTAACGCAGGTGCGTGCTGTTGCATTGAATATTGCTCGTTGGTCAGTGCACACTTAACTATAACAGAGAGAAAGAGAGAGAGAGAGAGAGAGAGAGAGAGAGAGAGAGAGAGAGAGAGAGAGAGAGAGAGAGAG